AGAGAGAGAGAGAGAGAGAGAGAGAGAGAGAGAGAGAGAGAGAGAGAGAGAGAGAGAGAGAGAGAGAGAGAGAGAGAGAGAGAGAAAGAGAGAAAGAGAGAAAGAGAGAAAGAGAGAAAGAGAGAGGGAGAAAGAGAGAAAGAGAGAAAGAGAGAAAGAGAGAAAGAGAGAGGGAGAAAGAGAGAAAGAGAGAAAGAGAGAAAGAGAGAAGGAGAAAGAGAGGTGGGGATGATGAGAATCAAGCAAAAAAAAGTGAAATCATCATTCAGAATTACTCTATAAAAGGAAAAAAGAAATAAATGAACCCAATTGATCACAGATTTGCAAGACAACGAGGACATTATTTTTATCCCTCTTGACAATTTTCTCTTCGCTCTCTCGGGTCCTTCCCTTTTATCTTATTCTTCCCTATTTGTTTTCCCTCTTATTGCTTTATTTTTTCTTTGTATTACTCTCCTGTTTACATCCGGAGGAAATTGAACTCTATATATATATATATATATATATCATATACATCAAAATCACGTAGAAAAGAAGCAACAGATAAAAAATCTTTTTTTTTTCGCTCTGTTTACCTGTCTGGAATTTCCTCCATCTTAATTATCACTATTTTCACCCCTCCCCTCCCCTCCCTTCCCCACCCTACCTTCCCGCACTCCCACTCCTCCACTTCCTCCCTCTCCGCTCCCCCTACTTCCTCCACCTTTCTTTCACTTTTCATCCTTTCCCCACTCCCCTCCCTTCCTATTCCCCTTTCTTCGTGCCTCATTCTTCCTCCTCCTTTATCCCTCACCTCCTTTTTTACAATCTTTCCTCTCTCCTCCCCGTACTCTACCAAGTCCTCCCCACTCCCTCATCACCCCTACCCCTTCCCTTTCCCCCCTGCATCTTTCACTCCACTCTCCTTCTTTCGTCGCCCCCTCCCCCCCTCTCCCCCCCCCTTCACACCTGTCCCCTATATCCCTTCCCCCCTTCACACCTGTCGCCCCCCTCACACATCCCTTCCCTCCTTCACACTCCGCCCTGAACCCCTATCGGACACTCTTCCCTCCGCTTCCCCCCTTCACCCGCCCCCCCCCCTCCCCCTGCACCCCTTCACACCTGCCCTCCCTTTCCCCCTTCCCATCCCCCCTCCTCCTCCTCCCTTTCCCTAGTAAGAGAAGGGGAGGGATAGAATAAATAATAATAATAACAATAATAATTATTATAAGAAGAAGAACAATAACAATAACATTTATAAAAAAATAATATTGATAACATCAACCATAGTAAAGATAGGATGATAATGATAATGATAATAATAATAATAATAATAATAATAATAATAACATAATTTATAACAATAACAATAATGATTATCATAACAACAACAATAATAATAATAATAATAATAATAATAACGATTATCATAATATTAATAATAGCAATATCAACAATAATAATAGTAATAACAAGAATATCAGTAACAGCAATTATAATAATGACATCAATACTGATAATAATGATAACTATAATGGTAATGACACTGATAAAGATAATCATAATGATAACAAAATAATAACAACAACAACAATAATAATAACAGCAATAGTCATAATAACAATAACAATGTTAATAATAACAACATCAACAACAACAACAACAATAATAATAATAATAATGATAATAATGATAATAATAATAATAATAACAACGATAATAATAATAATAATAATAATAATAATAATAATAATAATAATGATAATAATTATAACAACAATAATAATAACAAGTTTGCTAATAATAATAATTATTATTGTTATTATTACTATTATTATAACAATAAAAACAACAGTAATAATAAATAATAACAATAGTATTAGCAACAGGATCAAAAATAATTATGACAATGTTATCACTAATGATAATAATGATAATAATAATAATGATAATAATAATAATGATAATGGTAGTAATAACATAAAAAATAATAACAGTAGTACTTTTGCTTTATGAATAAGAAAAAAGACAAATATAAGTAAAATTATATAACTGATTTTATAATAGCACATAAAAAAAATGCATAATGATATTTTTATCTGTAAAATTGACGCCAAATAATTGAAGCAGACAATCCAAAAACAATATCCATAACTTCATGAACAAATTACCATAAATCACCTGAAATTACTTTCAATACAAATAACAAGAGAAAAGTCAGGGAAATAGTGAAGGCAAAGGTAAGTTCAACCAAGTCAAGTCCACAGTCACATCAAGTCAAGTGAAGTCCAGTCGAGTGACGTTCAACCAAGTCAAGTGCAGTCCAATCGCGTGACATTCAACCAAGACAAGCCAAGCCAAACAAAACAACAAACAAAACCCACTACCGTGCGGACCTGACGCAACGCACGGTGCCTTCCCTTAACTTACTTTCCGCAGTGAAGCAAACCAAGTAAATGATACAGAAGGGAGGAGAGGCAACAAACAGCGCCAACACCCAACCCTCCCCGACTCCTGTTTATTACGAGGGCGTTTGATCAGCCGTGATAACCTCGGAGGCTTGACCTGTCTCCCGCCATCACAACTCCTGCTGACGCTTGCTCTCCTCCTCGCCCCGGCTTGTTTAGAGGGACAGTCCTCAGGTTAACGTAATTTGGAAAGGGAGGGGGAGGGGGGGGTGAGAGATGAAGTGGAGGGAGAGAGGGAGGGAAGGGAAATGCGAAAAGGGGAGGAGGAATGGGAAAGGGAAAAAAGGATGGGAGAAGAGATAACAAAGGATGGGAGGTGAAGAAAATGGGGGAAAGGGAAATTGAATGAAAGCAGGAAAGAAGGAATGAAAGGGGAGGAGGAAGAGGAGGAGGAGGAGAAGGAAGAGGAGGAGGGAGGAGGGGGAGAGGAGAAAGAGGGATAGGTAGAGTAGGAAAAGAGAGAGAGAAAGGTAGAGAATGATGATGATGATGATGATGATGATGATGATGATGATGATGTCGAGGAGGAGGAGGGGGAAAATGAGGAGGAGGAAGAGAAGGGAGTATAGGAAGAGGAGGAAGAAGAGGTGGAGGAGGAGAGCGAGGAATAAGTGGAGGAGGAGGGGGTGGAGGAGGGGGAAAGAAGGGAGTAGAGGACGAGGAGGAGAATGAGGAATAAGTGAAGGATGAGAAGGGAGAAGGAGAGAGAACAGAGAAGGCAGGGGGATGAGGAAAGGAGAAGGAAAAGAGAACAGATGGAGCTGAAGGAAAACAAACAGGATATGAAGAGAAAATAAGGCAGAACAGGAAAAATGAGAGGAAGAAAAAAGAAAAGAGGAAGAGGAGATATGAGGAAGAAAAAAAGGAAGGAGATAAGGAAGAGAAAAAAGGAAGACAAAAATAGAAAAGACGGAAAGACAAGAAGGAGAAACGAAAGGAAGAAAAGAAAAGAAAAGAAAAAAAAACAATAGAGAAGCTAAAGAAACAAAAAGGGGGTAAGAGACCGCTTCCCCCTCCCCCCCACACACACACCCCACCCAAAGGCCCTTAATGACTCAATCGCCGATGCATCGACGTAACCGACCCGACCAACGCGCGTAACGGGACCATCCCCTCCTCCTTCCTCTCTTTCCCCCCTCCCCCCCTCCCCCCCTACCCCCTACAAAACCCAACCCTTCCCTCCCTTTGCCTCAGGACAATGCTGATACCCCTGACCATTGTTTTTTCCCTCCCCTTCCTTTCCTTTATCTTTCTTTCTTTCTTTCCTTCTCCACGTAAAATAACCTAATTACAACCCGACGGTCGTACGGGGGGACAGCGCCTTTCCTTATGACCTTGTCTTCTAGGGTCATAATGCTCGGGGGAAAACAAGGTCGACCCTCGTCCTGGGCACCTTAAGAAGGCCTGGATCACGCGAAAGACACCGGGCGGTAAAACGGTATTTCTTTGGCGAGATATTTTGGCGATTTTCGGGTGAAATTTTTGGAAAAGGACAAAACTTACGTTGAACACTTGGCGAGGCAGAAAGAAGAAGAAGAAGAAGAAGAAGAAGAAGAAGAAGAAGAAAGAAGAGGAGGAAGAAGTAAAAGATGATGATAAAGAAAAATACTAAAAAACAGGATATTCATAAACGATATACTTGAAAATAAGGGATTTCTCTCCCTACACACTGGGTACGGAAAATAAAATGAATTTCTTTTGTGTCAATACATTTGGGATTTGTATGAAAGTGACGATACACATCAAACAGACACAAAAGACGTGAGGAAATAATCAAGACAGAAAGGTCTGTAAACAGAAGAAGATGAAGAATAAAAGGATAAGGAGGAGGAGGAAGAGGAAGAGGAGGAGGAGGAGGAGGAGGAGGAGGAAGAGGAAGAAGAAGAAGGGGAGTGAAGAGAGACGCCGGGAGTCATTGTATACGTGAAGTGACGACTATTATTCTATTTTCATTATATTTTTAATTATCTGCTGACTCTGAGAAGCGCCTAGTCACCAATGAGTCAATTATGAGGCCAAGATAACCTCACCTATTTACCTTATTCCTCGATT